ATTCAAAAAGATTTGGGAGGAGGAACAAGTGCCGATGGACTGGAAAGGACACCTCATCAAGATTCCAAAGAAAGGAGACCTGAGCAAATGTGAAAACTACAAAGGCATTACACTACTGTCAATACCAGGGAAAGTCTTCAACAGAGTGTTGCTGAACCGGATGAACGATGCAGTAGACTTCCAACTTCGAGATCAACAAGCTGGATTCCGAAAGGACCGGTCGTGCACAGACCAAACTGCAACACTACGGATCATCGTCAAACAATCAGTTGAGCGGAACTCGTCACTATACATCAACTTCATTGATTATGAAAAGGCATTCGACAGTGTAGATAGGAGGACATTATGGAAACTTCTTCGACACTACGGAGTTCCTCAGAAGATTGTCAATATTATCCGGAACTCATACGACGGACTACAGTGCAATGTCCTGGATGGAGGAAAGCTGACAGATGCATTACAAGTAAGGACCGGAGTCAGACAAGGCTGTTTACTCTCCCCCTTCCTCTTTCTTCTGGTGGTTGACTGGATTATGAAGACCTCGACATCTGAAGGAAAACACGGAATACAATGGACAGCTCAGAATCAATTAGACGATATGGACTTCGCAGATGACCTGGCCCTCCTATCGCATACACGCGAACAAATGCAGATAAAAACAGCCAGTGTAGCAGCAGTCTCTGCATCAGTAGGCCTCAACATACACAAGGGAAAAACCAAGGTCTTCAAATTCAAAGCGGAGAACAGCAATCCAATCATTCTTGATGGCGGAACTCTGGAAGATGTAGAATCCTTCACATACTTGGGAAGCATCATTGATGAACAAGGAGGTTCAGATGCAGACGTAAAGGCGAGGATCGGCAAAGCAAGGGTCGCTTTCCTACAACTGAAGAACATATGGAACTCAAAACAACTTTCAACCAATATCAAAGTAAGAATCTTCAATACGAACATCAAGACAGTCAGTCCTACTGTACGGAGCTGAAACTTGGAGAACTACAAAAACCATCATCAAGAATGTACAAGTATTTATAAATAGTTGTCTACACAACATACTCAACATCCATTGACCGAATATCATCAGTAACAGCCTACTGTGGGAGAGAAACCAGCTTCCAGCTGAAGAGGAAATTAGGAAAAGACAATGGAAATGGATAGGACATACATTGTGGAGATCATCAAACTGCATCACGGAGCAATCCCTAACTTGGAATCCTGAAGGGAAACGGAAAACAGGAAGGCCTAAGAACACATTACGTCGGATATTAGAAGCAGATATGAAAAGGATGAATAGGAACTGGAAGGAACTGAAAAGGATTGGGAAGGACAGGGTTGGATGGAGAATGCTGGTGAGCGGCCTATGCTCCTTCACGAGGAGTAACAAGCGTAAGTAAGTAATCTAACTTATCACTTTAACGATTAAAAAAAATGACTATCATATCTACAAAACACCCCCTTCTGATATTACAATAAAATTTAACAGCCACATATAGAAACACATGGATACAAAACGTAACAATCACTTTCTATTGAAAAATCTGAATTGAATATAAACAAAATTGGCAGGAAAAAAAGCAGAAAAAAAACAATCAAATTGAATTTTCTAAAATAAAAAAATAATAATAAAAATCATGAATGGTAAAATACGACGTCATTTTGGACATAAAACAATCCTTTTTTTTCTATTATTTTCATACATTGATTGGTATTTCACCATTGTACAATATGAAGATATTAAGAAATAGTGGAAAAATTATTTTTTTTAAAAAAAAAACAGTCATGTACATTTATCATTATTATACATGACAAGATGATCTACAAAATGTATAAAAAATATTTTATTTTGACTTACATTCTGGACAATTATTGAAATAAAGAGAGAAGAGGGGGGAAAGGTTTCCCGCCCTCCCTCTTCGAATAAATTTGTTTTAGTTAAACATATAATTATTACCGTAGAAATTTTTTAGATTACGCTTAGTTGTTTAAATTTCATTTCATTGATTAGATAACATTTTTTTTAAAATATATATCAGAAGGGGTGGATATTATTAGTAATTTCAATAGTTGAAATCATGATTCAATTGAAGCTAGACCATCATGGAAAACCTGGAAGCACTGGATGAATGTTTCGTTCTATTTTACGATTCCTTAACAGTACGCATTCATAATCCCATCTCACAAGATTCGAAGCCAAGACCTATCGGTCCCATGCGCGAGTGCATAACCTCTAGACTACTGAGTCAGCATCCAACGGTGTAAATATCTAATTTGAACCAATGCAGCAAATTTGCGCAACCATCTTTCATTGTATGAGTTAGATACCTGTCTCTACCTGAATATCACCAGAAAAATCTTTGAACTATAACTTTAAAAACTTATTATTAAGTGGGAATATAGTTATCGTTTACTGACCGACCAACATGCAATCAAAATATTTAAAAAAAATGACTGAATGATTTGCGTTAATTGATCTGAAAAAACAACCGTATAATTTAATTAACAGAATTATTCAGTCTAATTAGTAGTATAAATAGAAATTTGAAATAATGAAACTTTTATATTGTTGTGGATGCGGAGGAATAGACCAATAATTATCATGTTAAGTCCAATGGTATCCTTGGACTTTAAATGGACATTTCCTATTGGTCGATATCTGTTCACTTGTTGAATATTGTACAAAATGTTGTTTTCTATTTTATGGTACGATGTGGTATGCTTGATTGGTATATAAACAAAGTATGTTTGAAATATAATGATTCGTATCTCCGAGGCTGTGGTTTGTGTTCTGGACTCAACTGACTGGGCTAGACAGGGGAGCGCAAACCAATCGAGACTCTAGGCCGTCCGTTCGTGTTTACGTGTCACTGTAATCGATCGATAAGTACGCTGCTCTCTAATTTTCCAGTCAAGGACACAACAATTAGCACAGGGTAAAAATCGACCGCAACCTAAAGTCATAACATATATCATCGTCAAACAGTTTTTAAACTGCAATTTTATTGAATAAGTTGACTCTTATCAACTGTATAACAATAAGCAGTATCATCAGCTTCATTTGGGTACACAAATATATACATATGAGTGTTTAAAATGATATAGCAATGTGATCTATAGTTTCACAATTTCATTGACAACAAGCGATTAACCAATATTGTGATTAGATTTAAATTATATATTACTCATTATGAACTACTAAGTGTTCCATCAGTTTACAAAGATAACCTGATCAATAAACAGAAAAAAAGTAGAAATTAAACCAAATCTTATTATTTCTACCATACTTCTTTCTAAACACGATATAGGACATAAAAGACTACTTAGAAATAATATGGAAAAAGTTAAATAGTGTATAAAAATATAATCACTAAACATTATTCTCAGTATATGGCTTTGTAGAGACTATTGAATTTTCATAGTTCTTAAATCATGAAACGATCTTAGCTAGACCATTAGTGAACACCTAAAAGTAATGGACTATTGTTTCTTAGTAAGAGACTCATCAGCAATGCTTATCGGCAAATCTGCATCGAGCAATCGAACCCAGAACCTCCGATCTCGCACCCAAACACTTAAACTCCAAACCATTAGTTAGTATTTGACTTCATGACATTCATGATATTGTGCGATCAACTATGTCAGGTATTAGAGATTTATCCAGTGAAGGCAATGAACGATGGTCACACAATATCGTGAATTTTATTCATTTAAAAGGTAAGAAAGCTCCACAAAAAAACAACACCCTAATTTCATCACGTTCATCTTATAAATAGACGCTTGCAAATAAACAATAGAAACTATGGTTAGACCCAGAAATATCTTCAGTCAGTTCTTATAATTCATTGAGTAATAAATGCACTCCTGATCTATGGAGAAGTATTAAGTGTTGTAAAAGTAAATATAAAATTAATTTAAATAAATCCACGACTTCATTTACAACAATTATTGTATCAAAATAAACTAATTCAGCACCAAGTTACATGTAGATCCAACTGAAAAGGCCTGAATAGAAATAAATATGCATTTTGCATTCCTCTACTAGCTACAATCAGTCTTTTCTAAACAACTTATAACTAGTAAAAGGAAGACTCAGCTCATCTATCCCATAAACAACAACAGATCCAGGTGGAGACAACTATTGTAGCAGCAGCCTCTACATCAGTAGGCCTCAATATACACACAAGGGAAAAATCAACATCCTCAAATACAACACAGAAAACACCAACTCAATCATACTTGATGGAGAAATTCTGGAAGAGATGGAGACTTTCGCGTATCTGGGTAGCATCGTCTATGAGCGTGGAGAATCCGATGCAGACGTAAAGTCAAGGATTAACAAAGTAAGGGTAGCATTCCTACTATTCGAGAACATATGGAACTCAAAACAACTGTCAACCAACATCAAAGTAACAATCTTCAATATGAGAGTCAAGTCAGTTCTAATATACGGAGTTGAAACTTGGAGAACTACTACAACTATCATCAGAAAGGTACAAGTATTTCTGAACAATTATTTACACAAGATACTCAATTTCAGTTCGCCAGATACTATCAACAACAGCCTACTGTGGAAACGAACAGATCGACTTCCAGTTGAGGAGGAAATTAGAAAAAGATGCTGGAGGTGGATGGAACGTCCATTGAAGAAACCATTAAACTGGATCACGAGACAAGTGTTAACTTGGAATCTTGAAAGGAAAACGAAAAAAGGAAGATTTAAAAACATATTGAATCGAAAATTGGAGGCAGACATCGAAAGGATGAATAGAAATTGGAAACAACTGGAAAGGAGAGCGAAGGACAGTATTAGTTGTAGAATCCTAGTGGGCATTCTATGCTGCTCTATGAGGGGTAACAGGCGTAAAAAAGTTAGTAGAAAGAGAAAATATCAAGGAATTCACAAATGCCAACTAAAAGTAACCGAAATTCACGCCTTAATATTAATAATGATAAAATATAACTACTTATAAGGTGTAAAAATTTGCATTTAACAGATAAAGTACCTAGCATGTGCACAAATCCATTGATCTATAATTGCTGAACCACCTGGGCCATAAGATATCCACTCGGATTCAGTTGGCTCAAAATGAAATACTTGAAGTGGATAAAGTAAATTTTTCAGATTTTCTAGTTCTAGATATGGAATAAATGTAATAGAAAATAAATAAAATGATGGTTCAAAAATATACTACTTCTATTACATAATATCAGTAGTTTTGAAGAATCACACAATAACACATTCAACATATTATAACTTGAAATTAATAAACGTTTTCAAACCAAGTAGACTTTATATTTTCAATGGTCGAATTTCTCCAAGTTATTTCAATCTGATCAAGTTATTACTTATGGAACTTGACTCCTTTGAGCTGAGGGTGTTTGGCAAGCCTAGGTGCTTGATCATCTTTATCTCGCAGCATACAAAACGTGATAAATCCATGTGAGTAACTGTGACCCTCTCAGGAGGAGAGAAATGTAAATCTTAAACAACATGATTGCATAAACGATAGCCTGCTTAGGCTCCTTCTGAATAGGATTCTTTGAAAGTATCAACCAATATCTTAGTGTTGGTATACCGATGAAATATATAACAATTACTGATAGTGTGGGTCTCCGCTACACATTGGTTTAGGTGTAAAAGATTTGCTGCAGAAAGCATTTCTCAACTTACCCAAAGTGAACGTCTCTATATTCGATATGTAAAAGTAATATAAATCAATAAATTAACTTTCCTAATTAAGAATTATATTCTATATACAACTAACTGATCATTAATTTTGTTTAATCAAATATAGCTGTGCAGTTATTTCATGGCTTTTTTAAAACTGTGATATTTAGTACAAAGTAAATGGAACTCAAAATATCTGTCAATCAACATCAAAGTCAGGATTTTTCAACACTAACATTAAGACAGTTCTATTGTACGGGGTTAGACTTGTAGGACTATTATAACCATCATCAAAAAGGTACATGCATTTATAAAAGTTGTTCACACAAGATACTCAAGATCCTTGACCAGATATAAAAAACAACCTAAAGTATCAGAGAACAAACCAGCTTCCAGCTCATGAGGAAATTAGGAAAAGATGCTGGAGGTAGATAGGATACAGATTACCGAAACCATCAAACTGCATCACCAGGCAATCCCTAACCTGAATTTTCCAATGCAGGAGGAAAAGAGGCAAACCAAACAATACATTCCATCGGGAATCAGAGGCAGACATAGAACGAATAGAAATTGGAAAAAACTGGAAAAGAGAGTGGAGGACAGAATTAGTTGGAGAATGCTGGTGGGTGGCCTACGCTCCACCACGAAAGGTAACAAGCGTAAGCAAGTAAATAAATAAAATATACCGATTGAGATTGATTCAAAGAAGGGTTCTCCTTCATCCGAATTCATTTTCAAAGCTATACAGTTCACGATGTATACATATTTTCCAAAGTGCTAATCTAATGTCATCATATCTTTCCTATTATCTCTTCTTATTATTGGTCTTTTACCTCGAACCAACTTATTTCTGTTTCCATGCTGTTTCTGATTACAGTTCATCTGAAATCCAACATTTCATACTGTCACATGATCTAAGCCTTCTTTTATAATTATTAATCTATTAACATTATCTTGGTAAATATTTAAGCTCATTACAACCTACATTTTCAGTTTCTTAATTAAGATATTCATATAAACTCTCTGTTATCATTGTTAAGCAAATCTATTATTATCATCATTAACAGACATAATGGTGATCTAACAATGTTCGGTTCAGGATTTCAATGAAACTCAACAATCTCTAAAACCCTGTACTGATAGACCAATTATTAATTACTATCTAGATAAATAAATTATATACTTACCGATTGTACAGCTTTAAATGAATTCACTGAAAAGAGAACACTTCACACAACAGTCAACAAAAATGACTTGATTACACAAGATGTTACCACACACACATATCTATACGCGTTATGGTGAAGTGATATAAACAAAAAACACAAGTTGATTATGCATTGTTAATAGATGGAGGCTTCATTTTTGGTATGTTACTACTATTATGACCACCTCTAACGGAACAGAATGAAGATATGAATAAATATTCTTCACTACTGTCCATATAAGTTGTTTTTTAAATACTAACCTTCTTTATTAGCATCTGTGGCTAGATAAATTGTATCGATGTAATGATCTTCATACTGATTAAATATCTTGACAGCATTTAGAATTTGTTGGGCTGCTAAAACATTATTAGGAGATCGACTAGTAGTAGTAACAGTTGTTGTTGTAGCGTTAGTACTTGTAGTAACAAAATCTCCACGACGCCAATGAACCGCTACATATGGTCCACCTAGAGCTGGTGAAAGTGGCCATTGTGGACGTAACCAACTGGAACCTGGACCAAGATGTTCAACTATTGACGGTGATACTGTACGATCTGAAATATCATTAGAATGTAAATAAGCTCCACGGTAATTATCACCAATATCACGTAAATGTTTTGCTATTGTAATGCTTCGACGTACCTAAATGTCAAATTTTTAATGTACAACAACAGAGAAATGATAGCATAACAGTATAAAGAAGGTATTGAAAAATGACCAAATGTTATTAAACATACTGTGATTCATATTATTCGAAATACTTGCAAATAACCAAATAAAATTTATTAGAAATGTGTAACTTATAATTGACTAGTTAATCGAATATGACGTTTGAATTCGATTGATCGCCGAGTATTGACTATGTCATGTTCATCAAGTCTCTAATGTTGATCATATTCTATCAATTAAGTTGCAATATGGCCACATTACTTGAACCATGTTTTGTTGTTAGGTGGTTATAGGTAGTTGGAAAAAAGTCCTGGACCTAGGCTTCATGCTAGATGACAATCGTCAGCAAGGAATACCTGCGACCTCGAGAAGAATGATAATTTCTGATGGTTTACAGCTTATGTCACTCAACTCCGCCTCCTGAGATGATATCAATGAAGTAAACAACTGTAAATATATGACCCAGAGGAGTTTGATCGCGGCACAAATGGCTCAGTAGTAACGAGTCAGAGTGTGAAACTGAATGATCCGGGTTCGCAGCTTATAAGGAGCATCAGTCACCTCAATGTTAAAGATATGTTTTTCTGATGAAAACTTGGTTCAAGGGTTCCTGCCGATTGTTTCCAACAACTTAATGAATACATCACTTGAAAGGCAAGTCTACTAACGATCAAACTTTGCATTTAGTTTTTAGGTTTTATAATGGCTTGCTCAAGACCAGACAGATATCAAATATACAACGCACATTTGATTTTTAGAAAACATACCAGTATCACTTGCTTTACTACAGAACTAAATGCATTAAGGATGCACAAAAGCACTAAGGCAATGTTATTTCACCGGCAGAAGCTGTGTAACGCATTCAAAATCTTACTGTTATCGAATTAGCTAGTTTCAATTTCCAAATTGCCTTGATTTGACGCTCGTACATACCTAATGGACATAATTTATTTTCATTTTTTAGTGAAAATACATTCTACATGTGTATTTACTGATTTGTTAACGCATGTTCTCTCTTGTACTTCTTTATCTTATAGATCCACACACACATAACTTATTTCTGGGGTGCACGTAAATCTACCAACTGGTATACATTACAAATCATATCCTAACTTCTTCGAAAGCGAACAGCGATGCAATTTAACTGCTCCAGTTTTCAATGAATGAAATTCGGTCAGTGTTGTAAGCTGTTTTCCATAGCAGAAGCAGGATAATTATCACATCAATCCATCTAGTCTTTAAAGATTCCACACTTTCTAAGTATGTTCAATTAACCGAAATATATTATCTTTGCTGAATTAGTCGATGATAAACTCTTATGAAAGAAAACCAACTTTCCAACAGATAGAAAGGAAATATTGCCTTCAGAATTATATTAATAACGAGAACTACTCTACATAGTCACTTCAAGTAAGCTCTAACCCAACTATACGTATGCGAATAAATAGACCCACATGTATTCAAGTGTTTGTTTGACAGACTTTCAGGTCGGAGAATACTATTAGCGTATGTGTTCCGAATTTGACAGATAATAGATACAGTGTTGAGACTGAAACTTGTTTAGCTTTCCCATACTCACAGAATTCAACCTCAACTTAAGTGACACTTGATTTATTGAAGATAGAATGTTAGAAATTATGTTGATCAAACAAACTCCTTAACTACTACCACATGAAAATGTCTATCTCTTTTTAAATAAACTAAAATACATATGAGTACCGGATAGATATTTCATTCTAATTCCAAAACTTCTATGTAGTATCTACCCATAACCCTGCAAGAGATTCCATTGCACCAATAAGTAAAATGAATTCGGATTTTGTTAAGTGAGGATGAATATTTAAGAGATATGGAACTCTTAAAACTGTTCTACAAAAAATCAATATATTCACTTTCATTGTGTTTTTATTAGATTCTTGTCCTATAGTCTCTAAAAGTATTCATTACATCCACCTAAGACTAACAATCAATAACGTTATGAACTGATAATATGTTTAAATCTGATTCATTTTAATATAATTCTAAAATATGAACTTATTTTTTTGATCACCTTAACTGACTGATTCACATTAACCATAATGATCTATACATAGAAATAATAGAAAGAAAACTTACAGTCCAATATTCTTGACTCCATTCACTCCAATGACCGTGTATAATCGACTGAGCTGAGTCTAAGTATAAAGTCCTGTAAACACGGTAAAAATATACGCACATATTCATATTGAAATTTAAAAAAATCCTGATACTATACACTGTGACGAAGTTATATAACAATCTACCATTGGATGATTGTCGCGTTATCTATAAAACTAATCAAAGTTGGAAATGTGTATCACAGGTTTCTGATATATTGTGGTTTGGGTGATTAAATACTTTTCACGAGACTTTAAAGTCTTGCTTTCAATCCTTTTCATCAATCCACTGCTGAAGAGTCCCATGAGGGGACGAAGCATCCGTCTAGTATCATCTGGTTTTCGATTCTAAGCCCTAATTGAGATAAATCTGTAACAAGTACAACCTATAAATAAAATCAATCCGCAAAATCTCCTTCCATTAAATTATAAAAAACCTCCTTTACTCATCAAATCATAAGTAATAACAAATATCCTGTCACTGGTTGAAATCATGAGTCAGTTGAACTTAGACCACCATGGAAAACCTGGAAGCACTGGACGGCCGTTTCGTCCTAGTATGGGACTCCTCAGTAGTGCGCATCCACGATCCTGCCCCCCGTGAGATTCGAACCCAGGACCTATCAGTCTCGCGCCAGGCGCTTAACCAGCTAGACCGCTGAGTCGGCATCCAGGTTTTCCATGGTAGTCTAGCTTCAATTGACTTATGATTTCAACCAGTGAAATTTCTAAAAATCTCCACAAAACCCATTCTGATAAGAAATATCCTGTCAATTGAGTACATTATTACAAATTAAATTAAATAAATCACTACAGTCAACTAACTGTTGTAAAATAAACCAATTTATTTGGGTAAACGACAGAAATTTGATTGAAATACATTGACAAAAAATATATATATAGCTGGATAACAAAAACTTACGTAATAGGCTTTTCAGAATTTTCAATTAATTGAATTAAGAATGGTGCTAAATGAACAGGTTCTAAATCTCCAGTGATACAATCATATGCAGATGCTTTCATTGGTAATATACCATTTTGTAAATTAAAACTACTTCCTTCAAATAATTCTATTGGTCGGCTGAATGATGATGATGATGATGGTGATGATGACAATGTTGAGTCCTACATAAGAATTGAATTAATGAATATTTTTAGTATAGCAGTTCACAAACACAATACAATATTTGATTCGATAGGCATACATGTATATGCTTTAAAATGTGAATAAATTTAACAGATTATATGTTCTAACGATCCTTATTTGGTGATTTTTATAGTATGATAGTGAATAATCATGTAATCTTACATGTCGGGAGTAAAACAACTATCACCAACATCCCTGGATGATTGTTATGCTACTGACTAAAGTCAGAGCCATACTGTCAGATGATGATCCAGTAGCTGGGTCACTGCGTCACTGTGAGACGTGTTAATTTTAACCGAAATGTATTTTCACCAGGTCCTACTACGTTGCATATGAGTGACTAATCAACAAAAGTTGGTTAGAACAATAACTGAGTATCTTTTTAGAAGCAAAACAAGGGGAGAACGCTGAGTTTATCCATGACGTTTTCAATCTTAAATAAATCTGTTGTATTTAGTACCTTCAGTTAACTTTTCGTTTATTTGGTAAGCGAAAACGTAATTTTCATTAAAAATTCTATTCCAGCTATCTGGGATTATCAGCAGCTGTCTGCTATAAACATGTCAATAGAACATAGCTTAATATGCCTGATGAAAAACATATACGTAGTGAACATTAGGGCTTGAGACAAAATATCTAACGGAAGTCATAATCTAATATCTAGCCCTCATTCACTTGCTAAATGAACGAGAAAATGACCGGAAGAGTTGTATACGTTAATAACGATGTGGATAACATGAGACGAGAACATTAAAATGAACATAAGATGGTTGGTTAATCATCGACTTACATTTAATCGATATAATTCACGTAATTCAAATGGACAAAAATCTACTTTACGATTATTAACATTTGAATATTGCCCCAATTTTTCATTAAAATCTCCACGAACTAACTGCAGAGCTAAATCGATTGTCAACGGATGATTGGATGACCTGTTTAATAATGATTGTTGTGAATCCAATACTAAATTTATGAAAATGAATTTTAAGAATGCAGTTTTTTGGAAAATAATAATAGTAAGGTCATTTACTTTTTCATATAAAAAGTACTGAATATCCGAAATTACGTGCAAAAATCAATGTAATCACTTCCTAAGTTCAAACATTGTCTATTGACTGACAGTACGCAACCAATCAACCGATCTAATAAACTATCATTACATGTTATTAGACGAGATTTGGGGAGAATGTAGAACTTTGACAGTTTAAATCATAAACTTATCTTACCTAGACCACCATTGGAAATCAAGAAGCAATGGGTGGCCATCTCGTCCTAGTATGAGATTCATCAACAGCCGACATCCTGCACTCCACACGTGGTGGTCGAAACTAAGGCCTTCAGTCTCGTGCACGAACCCTTAACCTCTAGACCACTGAGCCGGCTTCTAGCAGTGTTAGTGTCTAACCTTAAACAATTCACCATATGATAATATTGTATACGTTAAGTAGGCTTGCCCACAGCCAACATCGACCAAAATGTGACATCAATCAATGAATCCATGTTGATAGATTTTGACAACCTAAGTGGAGTGCGTGCGATAAGCACGACCAGTGATTTGAGACACGTTTCGGAATTGAACAATGTAGTATAGACACGTTTAGTCTTTGTTTTACCCTTGGCCTTCCGTCCTAGTGTAGCAGGCGCTACTCACAAGATTGCTTGTAAGTTATTATGTGGCGGAAGGTGGTATTCAAGTTGTAACAGTCTTCAGACGGAGAGAAGATCAGTACAGCAACAGCACGGCGTAGACAGAACACTTGGAGAACAGACGAGAAGACGGTTCAGGTTGCAGATGTAGGGCCAGTGATGTAAATGAATGATTGAAGGCTATGTACATGTATTATGTAAATGCTTCGTAACTTCTCGCAATAAGCACAGATTCTTTCCCTTATTGCCATCTTTTACACTAATACTCCTTCATACATATCATAAAACTCTGTTATTTAGAACTACTTTCCCAATCTGGATCCGTTCACATTATCGTTGCTACTACACTATTTTGACTGCTTTTGTCATTAGACTTCTTGATTTCATCTCGTCGTGTTGTTGTGGTGTGGAAAGGATGAAAGTAACTGACTGACTGACTGACTGAGATAATTATTAATATCAAATAAAGTTAATAATGTTTACGATTTATTATAAGTGCCGAGGTTGAACTTAACCAGCAATGTAAGTATATAATTGTGAGCTGAACACAAAACTGAAATTTATTTTCTACAAGTTGCAGTTCATTCTTTATAAATATAATAAACTTCATTCTTCTTAATGTTACAACAGAAAGAAGTAAAGAATCATCGATTAATTCAGGATTTTCATTTTCCATTAGAAACTAAACATGTATTTGATAATTCATAGTACCTCGGTTGGATATTTCTATATACAGATGACAAGTTTAATTCTCTTGTACATATTCAAATATTTAGTCTGTTGTTTATTGTTTCCATCTCGTAAACTCTAATTGGTTGAAATTTAGTAATTAACTGCTTAAAAGAAAACATCGCTTCAGTTTATCAATCATTTTAGCGTTATTATAACACCTAGATCAAAAAATAACTTTTCATCTAACAAACTTTATCCTATCTTGGTAAGAAAAGTGCAGTTAGTCACATTAGTCTTCATACACATAAAATCTCCTGTTCAAAATTGGGTGCATAATACCCTTACTTGGTAAATAAACCGCATATTATTATTTAATTATTTATGCATAAATAGGCATTTCTTAAAAATTGAAATCAAAATCACTTACCGTTACTGCGTTGAAATTCAATTAAATCCATAACTGGTATAAATAATGAGAGACTGTTTAAATCAAAAAACATTGACCATGGAATGCCTGACCAATTATTAAAATAACTATGATTTGTATATCTTTCATATGATCTGTCATTGAACCAATGAGGAAGTGGACCCCAAGGTGGTAAAACTAGAATCCAATCTTCACCAGTTAAATTTTTTACGTTTATGTCGTGTAGAGCGAAATTTGGTATTTGGCTTGGGTCTCTTAAAAGACTGTAAAAAGTTCGTGATAATATAAATAAACTGAAAAACACAAATAAATGGGAAATTTCAAACTAAGATTTCCGCTAGCGATTAGAATGTGTGCAAAATTGTCACTTTCATTCATTCATGAAGTCAATTAGTTGTAAGTAGTGTGGTACCTGACAGATTTCAAGCTGTCACATCACATAAGCATATCAAGAAGAAATTATCAAGGCGAATTTCATGAACTGATGCCACTTTTTAGTTTGGCTAACCCTAGCGCTCTTTGACTCGACACGTACACCAGCAGATATCGCGTATAAAGAAGAAACTTTGTTGATCATGAATAATACATAGCTCGGCCAACTCAATAGATAAGGATTCACTAACTCATCAACTGGTTTGCCATTGTTACTAAGCACCCTGCTTCGAACTTCAGAAAGATCCACTCGGTAGTTCCATTTCAATACGAACTAATGTCAACTTATGTCCAATAATCATTGTCATTTCATTTTAATGCCCTGGTAGGGCCAAGAGTGAGGAGGGCCTGCCTATCCTCTCGAAATGCTCTCACATGGCCACGCATATACAGTCTCTGACAGGGAAGTCCTACTCACTGCTTTCTCGTGGCAGGGGTGTTATTTACGATATTGAGAGGACGAAAAGCGAACGTCCGGCGCTTTAACCGGGTTGGTGGACATGGAGAGTCCATCCAGGGGAGTTGGAAAACCCTGATCCTAAACCACTGGTGCACATGGGTTCCAGGATCCCGAAGGAACAAATGGCGTACGAACCAAATGTTGGCCACTGGCTACCATGGGACTGCATCTCCTCATGATGCCCCACTGCCATGTGGATCAGACCTTTAGGTCAAAGGCTCGAGGTGTGGCCCCCTACGAAAACCACCTGCTTTGGTCTAGGCACCTGAGCAGTATGATAGCCCTCACACAGTTAAAATGAAATGACTAATGTCAACTAAAAAAACATTATACTTGGACCAATAATTGAAAGCTTCTATCTATGCAAGAGATACTTAGACGACATTTTCATTATTTGTGAGAAAAATATCAATGTCAAAGACATTCTGGACGCGTTCAATGACTGTCATAAATCAATTAAGTTCACGATGAAATCAGAGTCAGACTCAGAATTTTACTCCTTAGATGTTTCGGTAAAAATGAGACCTGACAGTTACCTACAAAGAATGATATATAGAAAGCCGACATGGAATGGTCAATACACGAATTTTTAAAGTTAATTCTCACTGAAGCAAAAGAGAAACCTGATCCATTCTCTCTGTTCAAGGATGAGAAGCATCCGCGCCGAGGATACAATCGATACCAAAATTGGTACACTAAGGCAGACACTGGTCAACAATGGATATCCACCTAGATTCATCGAAAAAAGTCTGAAGCCAAAACAACGATGTGAAACAGTTTTCACAGCATCAAAGAAGACTTTCTTCATGAACAGTTAGTTTAAAGAAGATACTGCGGCAAAAATACTGAAAAACAGACATTCAAAATCTCTAAAAAAAACGTTCTATTCGGTTGAACTTCTCATTACCTTTCCTAATCGGCGTGTGATCCGAGGTTGTGTGAAGGGTAAGCTCCTATGAATTTATAGAGACAGAACTCAAGAAAATAAATTTCGTACACGCTATTTTCTCTTAGAAAGTCAAAGTAACCAAGAACAAGTCGCTCCTTCAGATAATAAATAACGTTATACGAAGTTGACGCAAGTCTATAAAGCACAAGAAACGAGTCAAATATCCGTTATGATAATTAGTGTAAACTTCGAAATGGAAGTTTACTGGACGAAGCATCAACAGATCCTATGTTCAAACCCCATTCCCTCTTTTTAGTGCTCTGGGCAGTTAAAAAGTACTACCAGAACTTACAGCGTCCCACAAAGCTGGGTAAATAAACTAGTATTTTGTACATTAGTTCCGTCATGAACTTTAAATAAAACACGTCATACTGAATTTTCGAATCATAGTTTAGTTTCCACCACTGTTCCTTAATTGCTTTTTTTGATCTGCCAAATTAACATGTTTGATGTATGATAATGAAAATAATGCAAATAACTAATACACATTAAGCACTGTGAATAAATTATCTTCATACTACTGAGTTACTCTAAAAGCAACTAATAGGATGAAATACCATTGCATTAGTAAACTAACAAACACTCAGACATTTAATTCCCTATCCAAACACAGAGTGGAAATAAAACAGATTTCTGAAGCCGAAACTTCCATTAGAGGATCCTTACTTACATTTGTGTTGTCCTAAATCAATAAACACACTCGCAATTTACGTCACGATAAACAGAGACAACATATAACGGATAAGTAAACAAACTAATATCAAAGTTTAACAACCTATAGTCATGTTTGCGAGAAATTAAAAAAGAAAGTTATTTGAACACAAAAACTAAATTTGTTCTGTAAAATATTTTGAATTATGTAATCTTACTAGTGACAATAATTAAATCACTATCTGAAACGACAGCTTAATCGTCGGACAACTGAACCTTGAACAACCGAGTTAAGAGTTCAAACCCAGCCTTGTCTAATTGGATTTAGGCATGTGGACACTATTATTTACACCTATTGCAAAACAATGTATAGTTTAAAGTGGGGTGCGAAATTCCGTACTTATTAAATATATTGCGTTGTTATTTTATGCATTTTGTATTCAAAAAAAATCACACCTACCGTACTGTATTGGCAATCCGAATATAAACATCACGTTTCAAATTGAAACCTTCGCCATAAAACACATCATAAAATAAATATCTGAAAAAGTGATTGATGCAAACGTGCTCTAAAATGGATTATTTGATACCTTTTGCCGTAAATGCAAACTCTTGGCATACATGCCAAAATTAATAGGATAATACAGGATAAATTCATTTTGTTGTAGTACTTTAGGAAGACTTGTAGCCGATTGAAAGTTATTATCTACAGAAAAAAATTAAAAACACACCACCAAAATTTTTAAAACGTCATCATAATTAAACATGAAACGCTACATATCAGTATACTAAAGTTACCTTATAAAAAATCATACACCTAACTTGTTGTTGTAACAATCAAGAATGTCTCCTGTAAAAAAACTAGTTTTTGAAGTCACGAGACAAATTCAAATTAGAAACAACTAGTTTTTCAGTGTTATTTGTAATCAACCCGATTTATTATATCCTGGTAATAAACTAGGCTGTATTCGATCACAATGGTTTCATTTGGATGATAAAACGGCACAGAAACCAAAGAGATTACAGTAGATACTGAAGTAAACAAGGTTATGTATAAAAAGCAGATAAGTGAATTTGCCAAAATCCAGCGTGAGGTGTAAATAAAAGTGAAAACTAGATGTACCTGTTGTTTCTAGATTAATTTTAAGCTATCCGACATGCTAACTCGCAGTATGGAGAAGCAGACTATTAACTGAATTACTCGTCATCCAACTAGTAGTTTGTCAGTCCGAACTCATATACGGGCAGTAGGAGGACATAACTAGATCCTAAACAAAAACGTTCGGCAAAACGTTCAGTTTACTTGTAAAGTAGGTTTCATCGTCTAAAATTAACAGAGATTAGGAAGCTCGAATAAAACCCTAAACTTCTCTGAGAAACTAGAGGCGTCAAAAATCTTATAAATTATTGATATTTTAAGGAAATCTAGAAAATTTTGAAACTACTTTCCATCACCACTCCAAACTCTACTAAATGCTGTCCAGATTTTATTTGAAAAATCTGGCACCAAGGCTCATTTAAAACTATAATCTTGGAAGTTGACTTATTTTTCGAAAAATGATGGTGGAATAACCACACGTCTCACATCGAAAAGTATCGAACACAAAAGCGTCTTTTTAATGGCATAAAAATATTAAAGGGAATCTACCTTTCTACGTGAGAAAAGTTTAAGAATGAACAGAAGATCAGCGATTTCGCTATTAAAGTATTACAAACTACACTTCAAGCCTCGAGAAGCTAGAAGAGTAATAACGAATCACGAGTGTTCATCTCGAAATGGAGGGATACCTTCGGAATATGCAGAAGATCCAATTATAGGAAGCCTCAAGAGATACTCTAAGCTCATGATCTACAAAACCAAAGAAATATCTGATAATAGCGCAGTGAGTTACATAACACTAAGTCTTTCTAAGTTATATCCTAGGATATAAATACTGTTTAAACATCTTCAAAGAAAGTAAATAAAAGAATAGGGGTTGGGAAACATATGTTTAGTTAAAGACCGGAGACTGTATAACCTAGCGTTTCAGTCATTGTCGTAAATATTATGTAGTTTGCCTGAGTAATTAGGACTAAAAACAGCTTCAGTGAGTTAACTGACCGAGAATTCATATCACATTTTCTGATGTGTAAAAGGAGAAACCATGACTTGCTCAGGTACAATCAAAAACTGTACAACAAATAACAAGCGTTTTAAATTATGTGAAAGTACCCCTAGCCTAGGCTGAAATTCATAGTTTTTTCGCGGGTTTGAGGCGGACTATATTCACGTTATTGAAAGCCGTCCACAGCCCGTGATATTCCACACAAGAACCAACAATAGTAAATCCATGACAAGAGAGGCTTAGACTTTTCATACACTGTTCTTTTCACACTAAAAAGTTGTGGATTATTTGGAAATGTAAGAAAAATACCTATAATTACATTTCAAAAGCACTGTGAAATATAAATAAAATGTGAAGATAAATCAAAATTAACTCAACAAAATCCTCATTTGTATTTGAAAGAGTTCACAGAAAAGCCGACAAGCTAACCGCATTTTGCTTAAATCTGTACAAAGTAGGGAAATCAGAACAACAGTGTAACGAATTGTTCAAAAAACCGCGTATCAAGGTCATTATATATTTCAGTTTCAGTTTGAGTTCACAGAAACAATAATAATGTTCAACTTCAATTACATAATACGACATAAAAAATACATGTGAAACCATTCATTCTTTAAATATTTCGGATAGAAATCACACTAATTTTGCCAGGTCGCTAATTAAAAGGACAGTGGTATTTTTCCTCGCTGAGTAAATTCTATTGTCTTGATCGCTTACTACGTATAATAATAATAGTAATAATTTACATATTCCGAAAACAATAATAACAGAATTCACTCCAGTTTACAGGCATGATCAATTTGATATAGATATTAACATCAGATGTACAGAGCAAACATGTGATAGAAGAAAGTTTTAAGTATACTAGTTCAGTAATTGTCTAGGTAGTACATGTATTACAGCGATCCAATACATCAGCTGGGAACTTTTAACTTTTCTTAAATGGACAGCCTGTTGATTTATGAACGGGGCAATTTAGGTCATTTCGTGTGCCAGATCGAATTAATGATAATTATCTACAACTAGAGAAATTAAAACGAAAACAGAGAGCACGGAACAACAAAGTAGTAATTACCAAAACATGTCAATTAGGTCTACCAAAATACTTGCGTCATGTGACACAGTGATATACTGTTGATGTTATTCAAATTAGTTAAACTTGCTAAGGACGGTGTTAACATAAAGTGGTAGCATGTAGGTGGTTTAGTTTAGGGAATTCACTAATAAGAATGGCTAAACATCTAAAGTTCCTATAATATCACTTGTGGAATCAGATACACTTAAAGGCGCTAGACCATTCAATGCATTTTCAGAGGAGCAGTATGCATCGATGCAGCGAACAAATAATGGCAGTGATTTTATCGTACGGATAGATTGTGGTAGATTATTCCAGAGTCTGGAAAATTTACAGGTAAAGTAATTCATATAAAGAGATGATTTAGAATAAGTTCGTTTCCCTGGTGACAAGGAGCTACGAATGTCACAATGAGAAGTTTCTGCATATTGAATCACGTGATTGGATGTAAACGATAGTTTATCAAATAGTTTGAGGAAGATGAGATTTAGTTTGAGTCTCCTCTTCCATAAAGGGTCTAGCCCAAGTTTATTACATCTACATTTATAAGTTAAGGTACAATCAGCTGCAAGAATACGAAGTGTAAATCGTCTCTGTACTGATTCCAGCCTTAATTTATTCTTTATGCCCGCACTGCTGAGAACTAACGTGTAATATTCTGGAAGTGGTCGAGCACAAACTTTGTACAGTAAAATACGTGACTCAATGTTATATAGACTTCGAGTTATATTAACCTATCAGACGTCCATAGTTAGAGGTGTGTTTCAATATCTGTTCTATAAACAAAAAGTCTTGAGAGTATCTAAGTCCTAAGTCTACTACTGTATGTAACATAGATAACACCTCTCCATTTATGGTAATGTCTAGGTTGATCGATGTGTCGCGGAAGCACATACATCCACATTTAGCCGCATTAAGCTTCAGTTGCCATTTTAAGCACCACCGTGCTACCTTGTTAAGCTCCATGCTGATGCAATTTTGCATATTTTTCAGCTCATGTGGAGAAAATGAATATAATACTTTAAGATCATCTGCATATAGAAGGGGCTTACTCTTACGTCCAAGTTTTGCTCGTTCTAGTTATTGAAGTACGAACTATCGATCTACTTACAAATTACGAACCCAAATTAACAACAGAGACAAGCTCCAATTTAGATACAAATTTATTCGTAATTCACAAATAATCGACCAAATGTCGTTCTAACAACAATAATTATAACAATTACAAAACAAACCTTCAATTTTGTAGGTTCCTGGAGCAAACCTCCCAAATACCAAACCAAAGACAAACCAAAATGTCCGAAATAATGTCTTCAGTCTTCAGTTATAAGGATAGTAGGTTGATGAACCTGTATTAATCCTGACACACTGCTTTCCAGTGAAGGTCCAGCTTCTCCTTGAAAGTGTTCACTGATGGAGATGATACCACTTGTTCGGGTAAGGCGTTCTAATCATTGACTACTCGATGAGAAAAACGGAACCCCACTTTAAGTTTATTAGATCTTGGTTTATGAACCTTCTTGCTATGACCGCGGAGATTATTAGTGCTGGAGGGAGCAAAAAGATAAGACATATTAACACCCAAATCATAATTAGAGATACGAAATGCCAGTATAAGGTCACCTCGTGTCCTACGATACGACAAGGGAAAAGATTTAGGCGTTTTAAACGCTCATCGTAAGGGAGTCTAGAAAGACCCTTCACTCATTTCGTTCCCACACGCTGGACACACTCAAGGGAGTTAGTATCCTTTACCAGACACGGGCTAGCTGCTTGGATGCAGTACTCTAAGTGTGGTCTTACATAGGTGGGATATAAAATTTGAAACGTTTCCTCGTCAAAAGATTTGAATGCTCGGCGAAGTGACCATAACGCACGAAAACCTTTGACAGCGGCTGCTTTGCAATGCCAAGTTGTTTTTAAATCATGACTTAATACTACTCCTAAGTCTTTATGCTCTTGAACGCAAGGAAGAGGTTTACCCTCAATAGTGTAACGGTAACTATTAACGTGACCGATGTGCATTAGTACACTCTTCCTAGCATTGATTTCTAAGCCCCACTCTCGAGCCCATCTAACTAAATCGTCTAAGTCAGCTTGGAGATCCAAATGATCAGCCTCACTTCTTATTGCTCTCCAGATTTTTACATCATCCGCAAACAATAATGTCGACGACCTAAGCAACAGCGGTAACTCATTAACGTAGAGAAGGAAGAGCAGAGGGCTTAAGATGGTGCCTTGGGGTATACCACTTTTGACCGGCTTCCAATCGGATAGCGTTCCGTTGACCCTGACTCTCTGTCTGCATTCACATAAGAAATTTCCTATCCATTCCTGTACAGCACCTATTATTCCGAAGCTGGAGAGCTCCTGCATAAGACATAAGTGTGAAACCTTATCAAATACTTTGTTAAAATCCATGAATATCACATCGACAGAGAAACCGTTATTTAGGGCTGCTGTCCAATCCTCCCTCGCAATAAGCAAGTTAGTCAAGCATGAATGCTTGTTACGAAATCCATGTTGCTCAGGAGCTAACAGATTGTGTGAATCTATGTGGCTTAGCAACGTAACCCGAATTATCTTTTCAAGTAAATTAACGACTATGCTAGTTAGACTAACAGGCCGGTAGTTAGATACTATAAGTCTCTGACCGTCCGTAAATATAGGACTTACTATAGCGTCCTTCCAATCTCCAGGGAGTTGAGAAAGTGAAAGGGACATGTTGAACGGCGTCGCGATAAACGGCGACATTACGGACTCAAATGTAGCCTTAAACTGATTCCATTCATCTTTGATCAATCCATCCGCGTCGACCGACCAATCAGTCGAGATAGCACAGTTTCTGATCGCCGGGATATTGGATCGCCAGATAACGGGACGGGGTGGAGCAGATACGAATTGTATGCCATGTGTCCTAAACTTAAAGTGAATTACAACGTGATCACTGTTCACTAGTGGGGGAAGGTGCTGAATATGGAAGACATTCTCACAGTGGTGGGTGAGGGCGAGGTCCAGCAGTGACGGATCATGATTGAAATCAATATGTGTCGGTTTTGTGATACATTGTACAAGCGCACACTGAACAACGGTAGATAAAAGGTCGCTATCGAAACCACTACCTGGAGCTGTAAGCTCTATCCAGTTGATATGCGGTGCGTTGAAGTCCCCAATGATGAGACAACATTCTGCCATACTCCAAGAACAGATGTGTCTTAGAATAAAGTCGTCAGCAAGACAAAACGGACTACGGTATATTCCCCCTATAGTCACTAACCCATTTCTAGATTTAATCTTACAAAATGCAACCTCACATGTGCCACTGATATGAGCCTCAGATATGGTTGATTGTATACGAAAGTGATCCCTTACTTATAATATTATGTCTCCCCCTTTGCGACTTGAAACTCTATCACTTCTAATACAGATATAGCCTGCAATGAAAGGAGAACAGTCTATATCTACTGTGAATCAAGTTTCTGTAACAACGAATATATCGGGATATAATTCTTCCACCATCAGACTTAGCTCGGACGTTTTATTTCTAAGACTACGAGCGTTCGTGTAGCACACAAATAAGGTGTTTTGGCAATCAATCGTTCTACCCATAAAGGCGTCGGAAGCATTGGCTTCCAAGAACTGACTACCCGAAAACCATTAATGGTAAGGTTATTATCGCAATTTAATTTGCGAGTCCTCAATTCCGTAAGAGCATTCTTCAACTTGATTCGATACCCAAGCGGACAGTCTGGTCGAATGCTGATATTTGAGTCACGAATTTTTAGTGCGTTTTTGAATAATATATCTTTCTTCAAAACTCCCGAGAACCAGCTTCAGGATTCTTCTTGGTTGGGTCTCGCCTCCGACCCATTTACCAAGTCGTATTACTTTTGTAATATGTACCCCTGAAATCTCTTCAGGTAGTACATTTCTTACCACAGACTCCACTAACTGCAGGTCATGTGCGTGTCTTCTAGCAGGGTCGTTATCTTTCGACTCCTCTAGATTCCAAATAATTAAACTAGGGAGGGGTTAAGCTTCTTTTGAAACTGTGTTCACAGCTTTCGACCGTGACGATAGATCCTGTATTTTAACCACTGGTATCTTACGATTAGTTTTTATTGTAACAGAGTCCTGTGAGTCGAGCGAGTGACTCACAACAATGTTAGACGAAGCTTTACTTCGGGACTTTGGCGGATTGGTCTGAGAGTCCATCAAGGACTTATCAAGTAAACAGTCTTAGTTTTAGCTGTCTTTCCTACTTTTATGCATTTTCGCGTCATCCATTTTCCATCAGTCGAAACATTTACATTAGAACCACTCGGGACAGTAATTGTCTTACCTGGATCACTAGTCGCAGCTGTAGCAATATGGCCACCAACGTCTAATGAGGTGTCACTCACTGATCGTTTCAGGGGAGAACGTTTAACTGC